GTGTCCTCAGAGGAGGGAAATTCTGACACAGAGATACAGAGGAGGAGCATCATGTGACAATACAGGCAGAGACTGGAGCAATGCAGGTGGAAGGTGAAGGACACCAAGGATGAACAACCCCCACCAGAGGCTCGGAGGAGGCCAGGAAGGATCTACCCAGAGTCTCAGAGGGAGCATGGCCCTGCTGACACATCGGGCTCAGACTTCTGGCCTCCACATCTGTGAGATGATGCATTTCTGTTGCTCTAAGCCACACACTTTGTGGTTGTGACAGCCCTCAGTCACTAATACTATACCAGGCAATGAGATTTTGATTCCAAGTTTAGCATCATCTAATGTCACCTTTCATTATAAAAGTGATTTGTATTTGGGGAGTGTCCACTTCATTATGCTACCCAATGGCTTTCATTTCACATTTGTCAAGTGAGAGACTCCTAGGTGCCAGAGCAACAAAAGTGGGTGAACCAGAAGACCACAGTGAAGACAGTTTTGTGGGGCTACATAAACAGGCCACTGCAGCGCAATGCAGGGAGCTGCACAGACACAGCTAATAGAAGGGACGAGCACTGCGTGTGTCCTTAACAGGTGCCTGGCACCATGCTGAGCACCCCAAACACATGCTCACATGTAATCCTCACCCACCCCCTGAAGAGGGAAGGTGCTTTTACCATGCTTCCCTTCCCCATGGCGGTGCAGACACTCAGAGGCTGAGGGACCCTGGACTCCAGTCCAGAGAGCACTGAGTGCAAAGCCCTGGCTGGCTGGCTGCTCAGGGGGTGCAGGGAGGTCTGACACCTGCTCCAGGTGGGGGCACACAGAGAAGGGTGCCCCTCAGAGGAGCAAGGAAGCATCATTTAAATATGAAAGCACCTTAGTCATTGAGTTTCCAAACAGCCTACATATATTAAGATAGGCAGCTGGGTAAAGAACCTGCAGTCACCCATTCTCCGTCACTGAAACACATGATGGCAAAGCACTCCCAGCAGCTCATATGTGAGGGGAGCTGTTAAACCCAGCATCTGACTTCACCCCACTTCTGGGTGTCCTTGTGTGGGAAGGTGGCACACAGGTCCCAATTTCCTTCTTCAAAGCTGTCTGAATTTTTCAAATTGGTGATGAGGAAAATATCATCTGAGTCAAGCCTCTGGCTAATACTTCATAGCACCTACTGTATTTTGAGCACTGTTCTCAGAACTGACCATGTGTGAACTCAGCTAACCCCCACCACCGCCCCATGGTGCAGGCTCTACTGTTATACCCATTTTAGGAAGGAAGCCGAGACCAAGAAGGATGGGGCAAAGCACTCACAGTCATGGAGCTGGATTAAAACCCAGAAGTGTAGCCTAGAGTTCATGCTGTTAACCAACTTGCTATGATGATGGGTGGGGGCTGGGGGGGTAGATTTTTGGAGGAATGATGATTAAAATGTCTCAGCCCCAAGCAGATACAATTAGCCTATACACTATTCTGTTCTGATGCCTTCTACAAAGTACTGCACACGTTTTCCAATTTTTTTCCCCTCTGCCCATGTCTAATATTCTGGAATGAGTTAAAAATATAACATACTACAACAACAACAAAAATTATATTCTCATGCTTGTCTACTCTGGCAGGAAAACTTCCTTATCAGGACACACCAAGGACGTGCAGTTTCAGCCAAGAGTGAAGAGATGATGGTGAGCACTGGACAGAAAAGCCAATGGGAGAGAAGAATGAGCTGTCCAGGTAGGGAGTCACCACATCTATGCCACATGCAGGCTCTGGATCAGTGTCCTTAGAGGATGGGAGACACGGGGGTTGGACAGATGGACAGGAGGGAGGGTGGAAGAGGGGGCTGAGGAGAACTCTGGAAGGTAGAGAGGGTCACACCGAGAACCAGGGGGCTGTGAGGACCGCCTATGGAGCAGGATGGGGTGCATCAAAGAGTGTCCACATGGCCAGGAGCTTCACATTCACAGACTCCTCTATCTGCCTCTCAGGTTAGAGACCAAACCATATGAGCTGTCATTTTTATGGGTCAAAATGGTCAGATGATGGCAGCTTCTTATGGTTCGATGTATACACGCAGTCACAGGGTTACACTGGCACAGTTGAAAGAAGTGTTCATCATGAGGGCTCCATCACTGAAGCACATGACTCTGGATTTCAGCTCAGGTCACAATCTCAGAGTGGCGGGATCAAGCCCCACTTTGGGCTCTACACTTAGCAGGGAGTCTGCTTAGGATTCCCTCTCTCCCTCTCCCTATGCCCCTCCCCCTGTTTGCATGCTTTCTCTCTCTCTCTCTCTCTCTCTCTCAAAAATAAGTAAATGCAATGTTAAAAAAAATGTTTATCGTGAAATGTAAAATTTACCATAATTTTTGTAGCCTTTGCCATTTTTCTTCCTCCCCTCCTCCCCTCCCGCCTTTCCTTCTTCCCCTCCCTAGACTCTCCTTCATCCTCTGCCCCTCTCCCTTCCTCCCTTTGAATTTGAAACTCTATCCAGAGTCTAATGATCAAACTTACTCATCACCTGAGAGTATTTCATAAGGAAGAGTCAAATGCCTGTGTGCACAAGTATCATGGGCACGCCCACATATATTGTGTACACACGTGTCCCGTGCACACACACATATATATGGCATATACTCACATGTATACTGTGTACACATGGGTGTACTGTGTGTGCATGCACACTACATACAGGCTCACATATACTGTGTGCACACACATGCATACTGGCTGCCTGTATGTGTTATGCACACACATATAGTGTGTATATGTGCACGTATACTGTATACATGTACATTGTGCACAGGTGTGTGTACACTGCACACATGTAGGGTGTGTGTACGTGGAGTACACACATGCACAGCGTGTCCATGCACACGTGTACTGTGTACATGTGAGTGTACTGTGGACACGTGGAAGGACGGACAGGAAGCATCTTCCCCTGGTGGCCCAGCCCGCGCGACCTGCCGGACAGGAGCTGCTCCTGCCCTCACTGTGGGCACCGCTGGCCGCTCAGAGGTCATGTGGCCAAACCCCAAGCTCCGCGCCGGCGGGGAGGAAAGGGCCAAGTGGGCGAGGAGGCCACCTGGCCACGGGGACCCGGGGCGGGGCCGGGCGGGGGTGCAGCACGGCTTCGCGGGTCCCAAGTGCCACCGTGGCGCTGCCCGGCCGCCTACCCGGAACCCAAGCGTTCAGGGAGCAAGGGGCTCGAACGGCCCAGAAGGCAGGGCCTTGACTAAGAGCAGAAACTAGTGGTGGGAGGCTCGAGGGCCTCCCTCGGCGTTAGTTACTGGAGTGACAGGTCGGACGCTAAGATCTAGAAAGTCTGTGTGTCCTGCGGCGGGACGCAGGCGGGCCTCGGGGCTGCAGGTGCGGGCAGCTGGCTCCTCCAAGCCCCCGTCCTCATGCCGCAGGCCTGCCGGGCAGTGCTGCCGGGGGCCTGAGGGCACTGCCAGGCTAGAAACGTAGGAAGTCTGCCCAAGGGCGGGCAGGTGCGGACTACACAGCAAGGGGAGCCAGTTGCAGCCCATCTCCCTTCGCGCTGAACACACAGGATCCTCAGTGCCCACACCCAGGTCACAGGAAGAGGTCGAACCGAGTCACAGATCTCAGGCGGGCTCCTTATCTTTGACGCCTTGATTTAAAAACAATGACTTTTTTTTTCTTTATTTTTTTATTTTTTTACTTTTTTTTTTCTTTAGTCTCAAAGCCAGGCTTTTAGGCAACCTGCCAACAGGCAAGAGGACTGTTTTCCTTCGGAGCCCTCCCCCCCCTATTCCCATTGTGTAACTTAGAACCTGGAGGGAGAATGCAAGACAATAAACCATCTGCAAGTCTCTCGCACTGCAATTTGCAAGAAGTGTTTTTTGCTTCTTCATAGGACTCTGCATTAAGCCAGGACTAATGAATTGCTACAGTAAAGGAAATTACCTTTAACATTTCAATGACATAATCATATGTAATTACGATCACATAAAGGAACACTTTATAATTAATGATGTCTCCACTTCCTGAAATGTGTAATCCCTCTGTCTTGAATTCCAAAGAGGTTGGCACAAAGGCAGGCACTAAACATAGATCGGGAACTAATATTTAAATCAGCTTTTAATTCACCTTTCAATATGAACAGCAAACCCAGAACAAAAGCTTACTCCTATTGGCGCTCCAGGTCTCTATGTCCAAGAGGCTAGCTACACAGCAACAACAGATCCACACGGAGACGGCCAAAATCACGGGCCCAAAATGATTACCTCTAAACAGCAATGATTTTGCCCTAGCAGGCACGTTAACTGCTTTTCCAGAAAGGCATTAAAACTCACCCCAACTGTCCTTGCTTGGCAACTGTGCCGCATTACCACTTAACAAAGCACATGGACTCCTCTCGGTGACTTAAAAAGGAAAAACCACTTTTCTTTTAATTAGGGAAGTTTCCCACAGAGGGACAAACCTCCGGGGTGGCTACAAGCATCGTTCTAAGTACTGGACACATTTCATCTTCATCACGACCTTTGTCACCATCCCAACGACATGGTACTACTGGGATCCCCCCGCCACTTGTAGAGATGAGGACGCCCCGCGAGGCCCTGCGCTGTTGAGTGACTTGCCCAAGCCACCTCATTCCCAGGAGAGACCTCTGAGTGATCTACGAACCAGTTGGGTTGCACAGACTTCCTGGATCATAACATTTGTCCTGTCGCTCCAGCAAGTAAGGATGAGGGAGGCCCTAGAGCTTCCCTAACACTAATTTCTGCTGTTAGCCAAGGTCTGCAGCAGTTATAAGGGAACACGCGAAGGGAACAAAATTTTACCCATAGGAACACCCAAAGGGCTTCCAGGGAAAAAAAAAAATCCCTACAGCATGGCTTTCCCTCCACCAGGAAAACCTGCATAAATTGCCTCCATCTGACGTTCCTACGTTGCTTCACGGTCCACGACTATCTGCTCTGGTCGGGGAGATGTGCGGGTGGCGCCCCCACCCCAGACCGGCTCCCGGAGGATCGAGGCTTTACCTTGTCATAATAGTATCGAAGGGCTCTGCTCAGCTTATCGTAGTTCATGTTCGTTTTGTTCTTCCGGAGGCCCCACAGTTTGGCCACTTCTTCTGCTTTGAGGAGCTTGAATTCACCATCGTTGGAGGTCCAGCAGATCAGGTGCTCGTGTTTCTGGTCCAGTAGCAACTGCAACAGGAACTGCCACAGTGTGATTGCACTCTCCATACCTGGGGGAAGGAGGCCAGGGCATCAGCACAGGCGGCGCGGGGACCCCCGCCCCCCCCCCCACTCTGAGCCCAGCAGTCGCTTTCGCCTCCACCCCGCAGGCCCCTCCGACTCAGGGGCCTTCTGGAGGCATCTTTGTCAACAGCCACGATGCTGAGATACAGGGAAGCCCGTGAGCCCCGGAGTGCCCCCCCACCCCGCCCCAGGGCACCAGGACACACTTGAGGACCAGCCGCCTCCCAACCCCGGTGCCTGTGCCCACGCATCCCACCAACTCCTTGGCCCTCAACGCTGGAGCCCACGCTGGGCGCATCGGGGCAGCAGGGGTCCCTTGGTCAGCATGACTACGTGAGGCCCAGGGAAGGGTGTCTGTCGACATTGCTCTGTGTCCTCCCAGGACTTTGAAACCAAGCACAGCACCCAAAGGTCGTAGGGGCCCAGCTGACAAAGGTTTGTGAACTGAAGGGCCGCCACTGCCACCTGACAAGCCCCTTCGCTTCCCTGGACATTTGTCCTGCTGCAGGTCGAACCCACAGCCACATCTGCTTATATGGGAAAAAGCACTTTTCCCTGCTGTGAGACAATTAGGAGATACTCTCTTTTCCTTTGTCTCTGGTGTGGGCTTTGTAAGTGCTCTTCCTTCTGTCTAAATGCTGTTCCCTAGCCCTGGAGCCTGGCAAACGCCCAGTTCTCATGGAGCCTTCTTTAAGAGATTTCTCCCCCTCCCCCAGGCAGTTCCTTATCTTCAGGCATTTGAGGACTTCCACAGCAATGGGTACTGATTCTTTTTTTTTTCTTAAGATTTTATTTATTTATTCATGAGACACACACACACACACACACACACACAGAGAGGCAGAGAGGCACAGACACAGGTGGAGGGAGAAGCAGGCTCCCTGCCTGATGCGGGACTCAATCCCAGGACCCCAGGATCACGCCCTGAGCTGCAGGCAGATGCTCAACCACTGAGCCACCCAGGTGCCCCCAATGGGTACTGATTCATCTACTACTACTAACACACCTATTTTATCAACAGTCATTAAATTAGTAGGCGAAGGGGACTAAGGAGGGCACTTAGCATGATCCGCATTGAGTGATGCACGCAACTGCTGAATCACTGTACTGTACACCTAAAACTAATATAACACCGCATGTTAACTACAGTGGAACTGAAATAAAATTTAAAAAATAAAAATAAATCTTGTCAACTAAGGGGAAAAAAAAGAACATCCATCACATTAGGAAAGAGTAGGCGGTTGGGTTGGTGTCGAAAGCTTCACCTCAGGTCACCCGTCACGGTTGGACACATGACGTGCCCTGGCCTTTACTCGGGGCAGGAGGGGCATGAGATCCCAGCGCTGGGTTGAGGAGGTCGGGGATGACCAGAGGGTGGAAGACTGGCTTCTTCTGGCTGGAGCAAGCTTCAGGGGCAAGCTGTGAGTGGGGGTGAGCCAGAGAGAACCAAGGCTCCCCCACCAACGACAACAACAGGACACCCTGGAGGCGAGGTGCAGAGATCTAGGTGCAGGACTCCCGGACAGCTGGGAGCCAGAGTAACTTACTTGGACGACCCCCTTGTACCAATATTTGTGTCAATGCCTCACCACCTCTCAGGCACTCTTCTTACAAGGGGCAGCTCTGGGACTGACAGGCTGTTTTCCTCCCACACGGGAGACGATGTGAACACACCCAGCCGTCCGACAAGCATCCACGTACTTACTCCTCTTCACTTGTTTAGCCAAAAGCACACATTTTTATTATTTCTCTAAGCAACCATGGGCTATTTATTAAAGGAAAGCAGATTAGGAATGTTCTCCAAAAACCCATAAGGCAGTTTATTTATAGCTCTTTCGATCTTCGCCACGATGGCCCTCGGGGCTGTAAGACAGTCCCTCACTTCGCTGGTAGATGCAAAGGGCCCTGCCTCCCCTGAGCCTTGGCGCCCGCGGGGACAGGCCGCGGCTCGCAGGCCTGCTTCTTAATATGAACCACCCTTCCGATTATTTGTGGATGAGCCACAGACTTGCTTCTCGTCATTGGCACTAACAATTGCTAACAGTTGTCTCAAATTTTTTGGTGTTTTTTTGGCCAATGCTTCAGACAGTCAGCTTGAACACATCTTTGAAACTTTAAGCAGATGCTCAGGGGAACCTGCTCCGGAGGACGGAAGGCTGGGGCGCCCGGGTGGCTCAGTGGTTGAGCGTCTGCCTCTGGCTCAGGGCGTGACCCCGGGGTCCTGGGACCAAGTCCCGCATCGCTCTCGCTGCGTGGAGCCTGCTTCTCCCTCTGCCTGTGTGTCTGCCTCTCTCTGTCTCATGAGTAAATAAAATCTAAAAAAAAAAAAAACAAATACAAAAAACCCTCACAAAGGACAGAAAGCTGCCAGTGGGTTTGGAGGCCTGGAGGGAAGGGACTGCTGGACAAAGCGGTCAGCCACCTGCACGTGAACCAACTCAAACTGTCATGTTCCACACGGGATGACAGAAACCTATTTGTGTATTTGAATGTGCTTCACACTTCCTGCTTCTACCAACCAGGCCTCCCTGGACCCTCTCGTGCTTCCTGGGATCCCAGTTCATGGCGCTCCAACCCCAAGACTTGGAACCATGTTCTCTGGCCATGACTTCAGAGGATGAGATGCCCTCAGTCTTCCACCCCTTCTCCGGTTCACGTGTCCAGGCAGCAGTGCACAGAGGGGGTGCAGTGCTTTCTTCCCACCCCACAGAAATCTGGGCTTGACCACCTGATTCATTCAGCCAATGCAACGTTCCGTAGAAGCGATAACGGTGCTGATTCTGAGCCAAGGTCTAAGAGGCTCCACATGCTTGCACTTTTCCTCTTGTGCCCCTGTCACCGCTGGGAGGCTGCTGCCCCAAAATGAGACATGTGGAGCCAATGTGAACTCAACCCAAAGCCTGGACCCCACAGTGTAAGGCAGGCAGCGTCCCTGAAGCCCACCACAAGAAACGTGTCTGGTATGCCAACGACTCGTGGGCAGTTTGTGAAGTGGCACCCTTGCAACAAAAGTTGACTAGGACAATGTCCAATGTATTTGCTTTAAAAAATTCTCTCTTTTGGGGGGTGCCAATATCTTTACACCGTAGGGCTTACATTCACAATCATGAGGCACATCCAGGCATGAAAACACATGTTGCACGATGTAACGTGTGGGGAGTGTTGCGTGAGTGGCCGACCAGATCTTTACTTCGAGGGCCACCAGCAGGCCAAGGGACAACCTGGGTGCTATGGCCATGGGCTAAGAGAAAGGTGGCAGGAAGGAAGGAGAGAAGGAAAGACAAGGGAGATGCAAAAGGGCAGAGGCACCAATGGTGGTGGTGGGGACCTGCCTCAGGAGTCCCCCAGATTTCTGGGATAGAGAAACTCAGCCAAAGGAAGGCACAGAGCTGTGAACTGGGAATCACAGAGCTACACCCTAGCCCCCAGCTGGGTGGACCCTGGAACGTTCCCCTCCTTCCCCCTCACGACTCCCACATCGAAGTGTCACAGTCATGCTACCACTGGGGACCAGAGAATTCCTTAAGAAGTGTGACTGTCACCACTCTGGGGGAGGGGACCAGGGGATCAAGCCCCCCTGCCTAAAGCACAGCAAACCCTGTGCTGGGTCCTCACTCTCCCATTCCCCAGCTCTGCTGGCCACTCCTTCACCCTCACTGGTCTTCCCGTTTCCACGGTTGTAGAGCACACGAATCTCCACTGTTGTAAATCCCAGCTACACGCTCCCCAGAGGCGAGTCCCAGAGACCTCGCCCTGGGAGTTTACAGTCACACTTACAAACTCGTCACCCCCTTCTGCACTGGGCAGAGCTAATTCTGGGATGCAGCGGGGGGGGGGGGGGGCAACGGGGCTGCAGACCCGCCCACGCCTCGGACCACAGCCCTCCAGGTGATTAAAATGCATGAGTACATGTGGGCAACGGAGGCCACCAGCTGACGTCACAGCTCTGGTTCTCTCCATTCAAGGGCACTCACTGTGCTTCTTTTAGTTCCAATCTTAATTTATTTTAATTATGATTAAATGCAGTTAATCATCATTTACACAGTTGTCTCCACATACAATTATGCTTCACATTCTATCACCTCTCTGCCTGCTGCAAATCTTCCCCCTCTGGGTCGCTGGAAAACATTCTAACGTCATGACTGGGAAGCGTGCCCTTCCAACGATGACCAATACCAAACACATTCGCCAATTCCTCCAAATGACTATGTCTATCACCAGGAAAAAGCCTTAAAATGAATTCTTTTCTTAATTCTTTGACACCTAGAATCTTTAATGAAATGTTAGGTGTTAAAATGCAGGTGCGATGAAGTCCAACACATCTGGCTACCATTATAAGGAACATGGGTAATTCAGACACCAGGCCGTGGCTCATATTAAGCAAAAAGTTCAAGAAAGTTTTGATACCCGAGATTTACGTTTGACATGCTTTTATGCAAATGGAGACTTGCTTTGAGTTAAAAATATTTCATCAGCCTAACCTCCTGAGGCCACTTCCCCACAATTCCCTGTTTAAAACACAAAGAATACGTGAAAGAAATTGCTACAAATCTTTTAAAAAGATTCCCCAAATCAAACTTTTAAATAGAAAATGCTTCTCTTTCCCCTTCCCCCCGCCCAGACCTTATTTTGAACGTATACAGTTTTATCCGGTTTCGTAATGCCATTTTTTAATGCAAAAATCAACCTCTGCACTTTTACATTTAGGAGGATCGGTCCCCTTCTGAAGGCATCATCGCTCTTACAAGAAGAGGCGCCCCTCAGCATGAAACACCCTCCGTCCCGCCACCTGCGCAGTCTCTCCTGGAGCAAGCCAAAGAGGACAGTCACACCCTGGCCAGACCCACCTCCAGGCCACTCCAGAGAACAAGGCCACCTGCTGGTTGTCCCAGCTCCCCTCCTCCTTTGTCATTTACAGCCCAGATCTCACCACACTGGAGTTTCATTCGATATTTAAAACAGTTTGTCCAATTTGAATAACACCCAT